CTGTCAGCATTCACAGACTACTTTAAGAACAGTCTCAGTTCGTCACACCACCCTTTAACATTCTCTTTGTTAAGCTAAATGAGCTCCTTAAGTCTATCCATTAAGGCATGTTTTTTACTCTTTTAAGCAGTTTTATGGCTCTAGCGGACAGCAAATCAGACATGAGTTTATCAAAGTGATATAGTTGTAAAAAAAACTATGAATGTAGTTTGAATTGCATATAAAAAACCATCACACATTATGAAGCATCAACATAATAGTTCTGCTTTCTTTCTAGGACTCTGGTGAGATCACACCTAAAATACTGCATTCAAGTCTATGTGTCTCATTACAGGAAAGATATTGAAATATTTGTGGGAGTTCAGAAAAGAGTAATAAAAATTATTGGGGGCTGGAAGAATCAATTTATGAGGAAAGACTAAAAGAGTGAGATCTGCATAGTTTAGACAAGCAACAACAAAAGGTAGTAGGCATGACAAAATATCTGAAAAGTGTAAACATCAAGACAGGACATGAACCAGGGACAGTACCAGACACCAGCTTGCCCCAGGATTGGAGGAACATAAAGTTGGCTTAAAGCCACCTTTATTTCCTCTCCAGTCTTGGACAGCACTGATTAGCCAGATGGAGGATGTCACAGGGTGTACCTGCCCTATAGCCCCCCCAGTGGACCAAGCCTCAGTTTTCCCATACATCATCAATAAGTTAAACAAGGCTTTACATAGTGAACAAGGCCCCTTCTGAAGGCCTAATGAAAATACAAGAAAACCTTCACCTCAGCATCCTAGTTGGGCAACAGAGTCAGTCTTAGATTATCTGTTCCAACCAGGGGCCGCTACTCCCCTCCAACAGGGTTCTCTTGGCTCAGTACCTTCCCTGGAGTCAGGCCTCTTGCCAGTTATGTGAGGAGAATCTTTTGCTGGTGCCAGAGGTCTATGGAGATCTGTCCGCTGCAGCTCAGCATATAGCTCCTAACAGGCTGGGCTTCCTGCCACCGTTCAGGAGTTCTCCGTCCCCCACAGCACACCTTCCAGGCCCCTGCTCTGGTGAGCTCTCCTGCTTAGCTCTTGTGGGAGTACTTCTGCTCAGCAGCTTCCTGTCTCTAGGAACCACCTCAGCTGAGCCCTGGTAATCCTTTAGCAGGCTTATTACCCAACCAGCCACCTACAGATTTAATTACTTCCAGGTAGATCTGAATTGGCTCATTCTCCCTTACAGGAATCTATCACAGTAGGCTGGTCCCTGACACCTTTGTAAAGGCCAGCCTGTGCGACAGATCTTGCTCCATATACTGAACATTTTACCCACAAAGAAAATTTGTATAACAAAAATATATAAAATAGCAAAGATAACAGCTTTGGGTAGCTCAAGATTCTTCATACCTTTTGTATGTGCTGTGTTACCATGGAGTCCAAGTGTGCTGTTCTGGCTTCCAGCTTCTTCAAAGGAGCTCCAGAGAAAACTTCATGAGCACAAAATGCACCTGAAAGAAAAAAGGTAAATGAAGCAAAAAAAACACCATAACATATTAGCACCTACAAGAACTACACCATGGATCAAGAATCTTTTATTTGAGGGATTTAAATAGCAACTATCTGGTCTGATTTCAACACAGGTATATTGTTCCAGCAGAGGTAATGAATATTTTATAGTAGACAGTCTTGAACATGCAGATACAGTAGGGTAACCTAACAGTATATGCTTATTATTTGTCTTTGATAGACAGAAATACTTCTAGATAATACAACAGGGCTCATGCTTCATAAATCATGAGCATTCACCTCTCAATAACTTTGTTTAAAGGGTGCTACATCGGCGGAAATAATCTTGGGCACCTGGTATTCACATTCCAAAATTAGTTCCAAATGTAAATAGGATGATTAGGAGATGGTAGCCTTAGGGCTGGTCCACACTAAGCCCCCAGTTCGAACTAAGATACACAACTTCAGCTAAGTGAATAACGTAGCTGAAGTCGAAGTATCTTAGTTCGAACTTAAAGGTACTTACCGCGGGTCCACACGCGGCAGGCAGGCTCTCCCGTCGACTCCGCCTACTCCTCTCGCGGAGCAGGATTACCGGCGTCGATGGCGAGCACTTCCAGGATCGATTTATCGCGTCTAGACAAGACGCGATAAATCGATCCCAGAAGATCGATTGCTTGCCGCCGAACCAGCAGGTAAGTATAGACATACCCTTAGAGTCAGCATATTTATTTTCAATAACCTTTGGAACACTTTTTCCAGAAGACTAGAAAAAACTAATGTTGTGCCAATATTTTAAAAGGGTGGACCCGACAACTCAGGAAATTATAGGACTGTCAGCCTGACATTGATCCTGGGCAGAACAACAGAACAGCTGATATAACTCATATGCGGGGGAGGGATAGCTCAGTGGTTTGAGCACTGGCCTACTAAACCCAGGGTTGTGAGTTCAATCCTTGAAGGGATCTGGGGCAAAATCAGTACTTGCTAGTGAAGGCAGGGGGCTGGACTCAATGACCTTTCAGGGTCCCTTCCAGTTCTATGAGATAGGTATATCTCCATATATATTTTTTAATTAATAAAGAATTAAGAGAGAGTAATATAATTAATGCCAATAAACATGGATTTATGGAAAATAGCTCCTGTCACGCTAATGTGATATCTTTTTATGATGAGATTACAAATGTGACTGATCAAGGTAATAATGTAAATATAATATTCTTAGACCTCTGTACAGGCATTTGACTTGGTGCTACATAACATTTTGATTAAGAAACTAGAATACAAAATCAACATGGCATACATTAAATGGAGTAAAAGCTGGCTAACTGATAGGTCTCTAAATGTAACTGTAAATCGACAATCATCATTGAACGGGTGTTTCTTTTAGTGGGGTCCCTCAAGGATCAGTTCTTGACCCTACACTATTAAACATTTTAATCAGAAAACAAAATCAACACTGATAAAGTTTGCAGATGACACAAAGATTGAAGAAGTGGAAAAAAATAAAGAGGATATGTCACTGATAGCGATCTGGATCGCTTGGTAAGCCTGGTACAGGCAAACAGTATGTGTTTTTATATGGCCAAATGTAAATGTATACATCTAGCAACAAAGAATGTAGATCATCCTATAAATATGGCCAACTCTATCCTGGGAATCCTTGACTCTGAAAAAGATTCAGTGGATAATCAGCTGGATGCATATTATCTGGACCTGCTGATTTTAAAATTTCTACTTTAGTAGCAGCTCTTTAATATCCTCCTGAGATACTATTGGACTGGAAAGAGTGTCATCGTTATAAGTAGTGCCCTTTGTTTTCAGGTTTTACCATAAACCCTCCAAAAAACTGTAGGTTTTGAAAAATCCAGTATTCAGATTTTTCCATTTTCTACCTGGATTTTGTACCTGCTCAAACTCCCCAGGCCTGTTTGCAGACTCCATAGCAGAAAGCACAGTGCACCTGCACGGGGGAGGGTAACTGCCAGTTGGTGACCATTGCAGCTGCGCAAGATGGGCAAGGAGCCTGCTGAGACCACTGACTGCTGCAATGATAGGCTACAAGGAGTGGAAGGCTGCACCTGGTGAGTACTGGCCCCCTCCTGACCCCAGCCTTTCAGCACGGCCCAGGGCAAAGACTCCTGTCTGCTCCCCCAATCTCTGTCTCCCTCCCCACTTCCAGACCCCCTCCCCCCTCCCTCTGTGCATGCCAGGAAGCCCATCTCTCTCCACCAGTCCACCTCCCCTATCTACCACTCCCACCCACCAGGTACCTCCCTCCCCAACTTCCCCCCCATGAATGCTGGGCACCCCTTCCCCCATCTGACACCTCCTCCCCCTGCCACCAAATCAGGTACCCCTCTCCCCCCCCAGACTCCCCTCTCCCTGCCACCCCACCCCCCATTTCCCCTTTCTGTGATAACTCCTGTGAGCTCTGTCTGCAGACATGTCATTGTCTGGAGAGGAGCCCCAGAGCACAAAACCCCATCCACTGCACCACCAGACAGAGCTCCTGCCTGACCCTGGGCCAGGAACAGGTTGTTCTAATCTCCCTGTGGCCCTGAGGAGTAGACCTGGAGAGCACACGATGTGGGGAGGAGGGTGATGGCAGCCCCCCTACTGTTTGCAAATCAGTGACTGGGATCTGCTCTCTCCTGACTCCCTGCTCCTGTGTCCCACCTCTGTGACAGGAAAGATGATTTTGGGATCCATGAGTATTGGGGACCTTCCCTCTTCTCACTGGGCACCCCTTACCCACCACCCACAGACCCCAGTGATAGCCTGTGTGAGAAGCTGGGCCCAGGGACATGTCCAAGACTTCAGGAGAACAAGCCTTGGAAAAGACACTTTTCCTACACTCCCTAGGACTCCCTAGGACTTTTGGAATTTACACTTGATACAAGAGGCCTCAGTGTAACTGTAAAAGTCACCCAAAGTAAACTATTTTTGTTTTAAAAATAAGTTTTATTTGCCCAACAGGCATTAGAGATAATGATTTCATAAACAATAAACTCTATCTGTTGCTTTTTTCTCTCTTCCTGTTCCCCAATATTAACCCTGATATTCACCTAGAAAACTGTGAAGTTAATTTTTTACACTCCTCTTTGCCTGTTTATTAATTTTTTAAATAAACACTGCTAAATTCCCAGAAAATTAAATTATATGATATGACTACTGCAGGGGGCAGGAAGGGCAGGTGTGGAGTGAAGCAGAAGTAAGGAGGATGTGAGGGAGGGGATGGAGGAGTAGTAGGTTGGAGCGAACGGCCAGTCAGCACAGGGCAGAGAAAAAGTCTGAGAACATTCTGCAGTTTTAACTGGAATGTCAAGAGGGCCAAAAGTATGCTTGAGCTGCTTCTGCTCCTACCAGCAGGAGTCTGAGGCTGGTTCTCCTTTGCAGTTCTCCTACAAGGCCACATGGCAGGGAGGCACCAACTGGATCCTAGGTGAGATTAATGCTAAAACATGTTTCTCTTACCATTAGTTTCCCGGAAATTGTGGGTGTGGAGCTGAGTGATGGGTGGAGCTGAGTGGTGCTGAGTGCTGGATGGGTCATGGGATGGAGCAGATGATTTTCTGGAAAATTTAGATGCCTTTTCTAGTTGCTCTTCCATTATCCAGTATTTATGCTTTAACTTTCTTATTTCCTCTTCCAGGGATTGAACATAATCTACAAACATAAAAAAATGATCTTGGAAAAGGTATTTTAACTTAAACAAGCAATTAAATCATAGTGAGTTTGGCAGACCACTTGCTAGAGAATTTCCTTTTATCCAATCATACAGTTCTAGAGTTAGAAGGGACCGCAAGGATCATCTTAGTCTAACCCCTGCCAAAGTGCAGGATTTGTTGTGTCTAAACCATCCAAGGCAGATGGCTATCCAGCCTCCTTTTGAAAACCTCCAGTGAAGAAGCTTCCATAGACTCCCTAGGCAGTCTGTTCCATTGTCCTACTGTTCTTACCAGTTAGGAAATTTTTCCTGAGATTTAATCTAAATCTGCTATGCTGTAGTTTGAAACCATTGCCTTTTGTGGCAAAAGGAGAACATTTCTCCGTCTTTTTTATTGCAGCCTTTCAAGTATTTGAAGACCACAATCATATCCCCCTTAATCTCCTCTTTTCCAAACTAAACAGACCCATTTCCTTCAGACTTCGCTCATATGGGTTGCATTCCATCCCTTTGATCATCTTTGTCACTCGCCTCTGGATCCTTTCCAGTTTCTCTACATCCTTTCTATACACTGGTGACCAAAACTGGACAGTTCTCCAGCTGAGGCCTAACCAGCACCAAGTAGAGCAGTACTATCACTTCCCATGGTTTACATGCTATGCCTCTGTTAATGCAACCTAAAACTGCATTTGCTTTTTTTGCAACAGCATCGCATTGCTGACTCATGTTGAGGTGGTGATCCACGACAACTCCCAGATCCTTCTCAGCGGTGCTGCTGCCAAGCCAGTTTCCCCCAATTCTGTATTTGTGCATTTGATTTTTCCCCCCTAAGTGTAGCACCTTACGTTTGTCTTTGTTGAATTTCACTTTGTTGTCTATAGCCCAGTTCTCCAATTTAGCAAGATCCCTCTGAATTTTAGCTCTATCCTCCAAAGTGTTGGCAGCCTCCCTAGCTTTGTGTCATCTGCAAACTTGATCAGTGTGCTCTCTATATCTACATCCAGGTCGATAATAAAAATGTTAAACAACACTGGACCCAGAACAGATCCCTGTGGAATCCCACTTGAGATATCTTTCCAATCCAACAACCTGATTCCATTAATAGTTACTCTTTGTTTGCAGTTGTTTAACCAATTATGTATCCACTTAGTGGGAGTGCTGTCGAGCCTGCATTTCTTCAGCTTACTTATCAGAATGGCATATGGGACTGTGTCAAAAGCCTTGATGAAGTCCAGGTATATTATGTCCACCACATTCCCCCATCCACCAAATCAGTTGCCCTGTCAAAGAAGGAAACCAAGCTGGTTTTGCATGATTTGTTCTAGTGATCACCCCTTCATCCTCCGGGTATTCGCAAACTGAATGTTTTATACATCGCTCTAGTAGCTTCCCAGGTATTGAAGTCAAGCTGACTGGTCTCTAGTTCCCCAGCTCCTCCTTTTTCCCCCTTTTATAAATGGGCATTACATTCGCCCTTCTCCAGTCTTCTGGGATCTCTCCTGTCATCCATAAGTTCGTAAATATTATTGCCAGTGGCGCCGAGAATTCTTCAGCTAATTCTTTCAGTACCCTCGGGTGAACAGCATCAGATCCAGCTGATAAGAGTACTATATCCTCCAACTGCTGGAAACAAACAACTGAGCTCTGGCAGCTGGAAACTTTTTATATATAGGAGGATGGTGTCAACAAAAAGGCTCAATGGTATTGTCTTCAGCTATTAGCAGGGAAGAACTATATGCACATATCAGAACTAGCATAGAAGATTGAAGAGAGAAATGTCCTTTAGAATTAATGAATAGAAATCTTTGATTGAACTGAGTAATCAAATTGTTTCACTAACAGAGTATAAATTAATAGGTAAAATAAGAGTTTATGTCTAATGAACACCTCTGCACATAATAATTAGCCCATCAATTCATGTTTGCTTGGAAATGGCAAGGTGTAAAATAACTGTGTTAACTATTCTTAACTATTCACAATGAAACCTCAAAGTTAGAACAGAATAAACAGCCATTTTGGAGGGGAATGCAGCAGGTGCAGGAGAATCTACTTTGCTGGGTCTGTCTGGTTTTCTCAGATCCAGAAAATGGTCTAGGCTGGCTTTGGAGTAATTCAGAGGACTCAGAAGTTGAATGTTTAGCTAAGTGAGGCATGTGCAGTGAGCAAATATGCAGTTCATCTGCACATGTTTAGATTATTGCGGAAAAAAAAAGGGTTTAAAAAAATCTATACCAATTGTACCATGCATGTGCAAAAGGGCCATTAAAAGGCTCAAAAAATGGTCAATTTTTCACCAAAACATTCAAATGCTTCTCTTTTGGGATGGTTATTTCCCTATCAAATTACAGTTATCTTTCCTTCCCAAAGTTCAAAAAAGGTCACAAGAATTTCTTCATGAAGGGGAAATTGTAGTTTTCATTCTCCTTATACTAAAAAAAGTGAACAATTTTGGCCCAAACTTTATTTTAGAAAATTTTTGGTAGAGACTGTGCCTGCAAAACTGTAGCTCAAATGGTTAATTTTTCAGCAAGTTATGAGCTGGGGGTTTTGAACAGAAATAACTGGCAAATCTTAACTATAGTAGTTGCTACCAGTTCCCCCTGTAATGTACATGTTCATTCACAACCCATGTATTCTTCTCTGAATTTCCTTCTGAGTGATGAGTATTTAAAATAGAGTAACTCCTCACTTAACGTTGTAGTTATGTTCCTGAAAAATGTGACTAAGTGAAACAATGCTAAGCAAATCCAATTTCCCCATAAGATTTAATGTAAATGAGGGGGTTAGGTTCCAGGGAAATTTTTTTCACCAGACAAAAGACACTCTCTCTCTCTCTCTCTCTCTACACACACACACACACACACACACACACACAGTATAAGTTTTAAACAAACAATTTAATACTGGTACACAGCGATGATGATTGTGAAGCTGGGATGAAGTCAGAGGGTGGGATATTTCCCAGGGAATGCCTTACTGCTAAATGATGAACTAGCATTTGGCTGAGCCCTCAAGGTAGTTAATGTAGCCTCACTCTACAAGGCAGCAGGCATGGAGGGAGGGGAGAAAGCATAGCAGACAGAGACAGAGACACACACCTGTGTCTGAGAGTGAGAGATGCACATTTCCCCTTTAAGTAGCTGACCCCAGTCTTAAGTACACTGCCTTGTTAATTAGATCAGCTTGCTGAGACTGCAGCTGCTGCCTGGAAGCTCCCTCCGTCCTGAACCCTGTCGTGTGTAACCCCTGCTCTATGGAAATGGGGTAAGTGGGGTGCATGAGCAGGGGGGCAGGGGACACCCTGACATTAGCTCCCCACTTCCCCCCTCCCCCCGTACAGCAAGCAGGAGTCTCTGGGAGCAGCACATGGCAGTGAGGGAGGGACAGCTCAGTGCCGGCAATTGCTAGCCTGCTGGGCAGCTGCAGCACAGGGAACTTAGGGGAGCTGATTGGGGGCTGCCAGTCCACCCTGATTACAAGCCCCCACCAGCTAGCTCCAACAGGCTGCTCTTCCTGAAAGCAGTGGACAAAGCAGGCGGGATACATTTTAAAATAGCATTTTTTCTTGTTTATAGCTATTATTTCTGTTAAATAAGATGAAAATAGTATTCTAAGGCAAGAGCTGTGACTTGAGAGGAAAGTGTGAAATGCCATACACAACTGCTACAGAGTAGCACTTTCAACCCTGTTCTCTATATTACCAGGAGTAAATATGACTGTAGCAGCCTTAGCATCAGTGGCAGTTTGCTGTGTATATTGTATATTTTCTTTCCTGGGGAACGAGGATGGTGTCTGATCACTGAGAGTCTCCATTTCTTTCCTCATTTCTGCAATAGCAGCCCGCAGGCTGGTGTTCTGTTCCTTTAATCTTTGGATCTCTGTGGCATGAAAATCTTTTCCAAGAACTCCTTTATCACCACCTAGAAACATCTGAAAAATAAAACAGTGACATCATGTTATTATCAGTGATGGAGACAAACGAGGGTCTTGTGTCTTCCAAACACAGCAAATAATAATTCGCTCAAGGTTAAAAAGTATTAAGATCATATGGGAAGAGAACAGCTGAAAGAGGAAAATAATCAGGTAATTCTGGGAGTTACCTGAGAAAAAAGTACAACAGTTAGAACTGTGGTCAGATTTATTAAAATGACTGAAAGAAAAAGTAGATCAGTTTAACTGACAGAAATACCCTCTTCCCCTCTCTATTCAATGGAGTTTTTATTTAAATAGGGTCCTTCATCAAAAGCAGAGACAAGAGAGAACATTTTGCACAGATGGGTATAGTGTCCCTCAGAGGCAGAAAAGGAAAAATTACAAATGTAAACAGAAATGTAACACTGAAAATATCTCAGTAACAATTATTGAAGTCAACTTACAATGAGGGAAGAATAAAAGCAGCCAGTATGAATGGAGAGTCAGGTGAGTTTCAGATATATATGGCGATGCAGTCTGCACTTTCTTATAAAGTTGCTGAAGTAACTCTATAAGAAAGGTTACACAGTAACCAGCTTTCCATCGTCAGCCCAGTTTTGTCCCCTCACCTTACTACTTCCTCAAAACAAATTCTTTCCACCTGAAATTTCTTGTGTAGAGAAATTTCTGCCAGAGGATAATTTTTGAGAAAGCATAAGATTAATAAATGTAACAAAATGTTTGGTTTAGTTATGCGACTATATGATACTTATATGAAATGTTATGAGAATGTAAAATTTAAAGTATTGAAGTTGAGGAGTGCTTGCATTTGGGTTTGTGGCTCATATGTGACGAATGGGAGATGGTTTGCAGCAGAGGGTTTGTGATCCATATTAGAAATGTTATGACACTGTAGTATGGCATTTTGGTAGTTGGGTGTAAACAAGCTGTTGTTGGACAGGCAAAGATGAGTATTGATGTGGGGCCAGAGTTAAGGTTGTTTGTGTAACCTAAAGGAATAGATTCTCAGCAGCTGAAAACTGCCATAGATCTATTGACTTCAATGGAGCTATGACAATTTACACCAGCTGAGGATCTGCGCCCCTAAAACTTTATTCTTAATTTAGATTTCCAGGCTTTCAAATATGTGCTTGTTGTTGTATGAAAATAGTAGAAATACTGTAACAATTTTTTTTCTTAATTGATATGTATTTGCAACCTTGACTATTTTCATGTACGTTGTGCCTGGGAATATATAAAAACGGTATTGTAGTATTTTCTTTGATCTAAAAATTCTGTATCCTAGCTCCCGAAAATAGTAGACCTGGTTAATACTGCTTTTTAATACATACACAGTTCTTCATGTTCTATTCAGGGAGGACCTCATTTTCCTGGTTAACAAGTAGTGATTGGGCACTAGGGTGCACCACAATACATTCTTCACTTTCATCCTTCAGAAAGGCCTGTTATGAATACAGTTCTGCCAAAATCTCAATGGGGTGAAGCAACAGATATTAGCAAAATCAGAAATCTCCTGTCCAGCCCCAGGAAAGTTTTCACATTTCTCAGTGATTTGCAAGTTGATGAGAAGGATTTAAACCTAAAGCAGGGATCAGTAATACAGATGGCAGAGGTGTTGAAAGTTACACAAATAGCCAGAAATTAGTGTTTAGGGATTCAACTATGCTTGGGATACATTTTCCTGTTCTACTGCACTGCAGTCCTTAACACAATATAAAATATGAAAGTAGAAAACAAATGAAAGTCCAAAATTAATGCACAAACTGAATGTATCTTGGAAATATGTATTATTAGGCTGATTCGTATTAGATGTTCAGCTACATTATGAAAAAATATGCTAGGGACATTGTTCTCCATTTTTCTTCAATATTCTAACAGACAAGTCTCTTTCCAACTTTCTAAATCCTATCTGCAGATTTCTTCACCACATGATGGTTTTTTATGTCCGATTTATTCCATTTTAATATTTACAGCATAATTTTAAGCATTGCTGAAAGACTCTTTATTGCCAGCTTCCCCATTTAGAGTACAGCAACCACAAAAATGTTTTCCTCTGGAATATTTTCAGATTTTCAAATTTTCCTTCTGCTCTCTCAATCTGGGATTCTCGACAGTCTCCCAAATTTTTGTTCAGTCAGAGATGGCATAATTATGTAAATACACATGAGAAGCCTGTCCCTTAACTGTTACTTGCAGCAGTGGGATGATATTTCTGTCTACCTCATCACAATGAAACTTCTAAAATAGTAATTTTTTAATATTTCCAACAGAATTTAATTTCTTTCAGATCTTTAGCACATGCCATTCAAAGGCAAAAATTATTCCCTGAACATTATAATTCCTTCCACTGTAATATTCAAACAAGAAGCCAAGTCTCTGTTTACACACAATTTATGTGCCTGCTTTCTATTTCTGGTCATATACGAGCTGGTCCAGAGCCAAGTATCTGTGGACTACAATCTTCAAGGACAGAAGGCAGCAAGAATGATTTTGCAGTACTAAAAGGCCACTTTACTTCAACAAGGGACGGGAAATATACAGTCCTTCAAGGACAGCCACAATGACATAAGATTAGAATTACAGGATATGAGACGGGGCTGGGGAGGAGCCAACCACTTCATCTTTGTCCACAACAAATTTTAAAACCATATTACCACCTAATGAAAAAACAAACTAACTTTCACTTATAATCAATTTTTCTAGCTAACTGCAGAAATAAATTGAGAAAAATAGTACATTCTTCCTAAGATCCTCAAAAGGAATAATTCCTTATAAAATTTTTGGTGGGGCTCAGAGGTCAGGGGTACAAGCTGTAGAGCCCTCTAAATTGCAGTCTGGGGGCAAAAACCCCCAGTAGGAGAAAATACCTGCCATACCTCCATCATACCTGGTGCATGGGGTCGCAGTGCCACTCAAGGATAGACAGTACACTTATAAAGTTTGCAGATGATACCAAGGTGGGAGGGGTTGCAAGTGCTTTGGAGGATAAGATTAAAATTCAAAATAATCTGGACAAATTGGACAATGATCTGATATAAATAGGATGAAATTCAATAAGGACAAACGCAAAGTACTCCACTTAGGAATGAACAATCAGTTGCACACATACAAAATGGGAAATGACTGCCTAGGAAGAAGTATTGCGGAAAGGGATCTGGGAGTCAGAGTGGAGCACAAGCTAAATATGAGTCAACAGTGTAACACTGTTGCCAAAAAAGCAAACATCATTCTGCAGGAGTGTTGTAAGCAAGACACAAGAAGTAATTCTTCCATTCTACTCCATGCTGATTAGGCCTCAACTGGAGTATTGTGTCCAATTCTGAGCGCCACCTATCAGGAAAGGTTTGGACAAATTGGAGAAAGTCCAAGTCTAGAAAACAGGACCTATGAGGAAATATTGAAAAAAAATTGGTTTGTTTAGTCTGGAGAAGAGAAGACTGAGGGGGGACATGAAGTACAGAAAGAAGAGGGTGAAAAATTGTTCTCCTTAGCCTCTGAGGATAGGACTAGAAGCAATGGGCTTAAATTGTAGCAGGGGAGGTTTAGGTTGGACATTAGGAAAGACTTCCTGTAAGGGTAGTTAAGTACAGGAACAAATTGCCTAGGGAGGTTGTGGAATCTCCATCATTGGAGGTTTTTAAGAACAGGTTAGACAAACATCTGTCAGGAATGATCTAATTATTACCTAGTCCTGCCTTGAGTGCATGGGACTGGACTATGACCTCTTGAGGTCCCTTCCAGTCCTATACTTTTATGATTCTATGATTCAGGGAAAACTCAGCAGAGAATCATTCTTCCATGCATAGGCGCTGGGCTATATGGGCTCATGGGGGACCAGGCCCCACCAATATTCTGGAAAGAAGGCCCAGCCCTACCAATGTTTAAGCCAAGAGTGCAACCAGAAGAGGGGATCCAGGTTACTTACTGGGACACCCCAAATTTGAGTGACATTGGGGGTATCTGGGCCAAATTTGAGTGGCACTGGGACCCTATGCACCAAGTATGCTGGAGGTATGGCAGGTATTTTTCTCCTAATTAAGGGTGTTCCACCCCCCTAGACTCCAATTATAGGAGGCGCTGTCCCTTGCACCCCTGACCTCTGGGCCCCCCTAAAAATTTTACAAATGCAGCACCTATGCTTCCATGTGATGGGATGATGACTATTGCCCTACGTCCCACTGTGCTTAAGTACATTTGCAACTGAACCCTATGTTTGCAAATTGGACTTCCAGCTGAGACGAATTAGTAAAATGGCAGCTCTTAATGGGAGACAGTAATTGAGATATTAAAACAGCAGCAGGCATTCGGGGGGAGGGATAGCTCAGTGGTTTGAGCATTGGCCTGCTAAACCCAGGGTTGTGAGTTCAATCCTTGAGGGGGCCACTTAGGGGTCTGGGGCAAAAAATCAGTACTTGGTCCTGCTAGTGAAGGCAGGGGGCTGGACTTGATGACCTTTCAAGGTCCCTTCCAGTTCTAGGAGATAGGATATCTCCATTAATTTAATTTAAATTTAAACAGATTTTGCAATTTCATATATTTTTAACATATTCATTTAAGATTAACATAACCTTAAAATCTGCACTGTGCCAACCCTGGAACAGAACAGAGAATCACAATTCTTTCTCTGCTCCTCCTTTTCTTGGAGCAGTTTACCTCCCCTGTACACCTGGCATAATACTTTGGCCAGTGAGTGACTGGGGCAGTCAGGGCTCCTCCCCATCCCTGTCCACTTGTTCAAAGTAGTGGAAGAGTAGCCTCTTCTGTCCTTCCTATGGCCAGAATCTAAATCTGAGCAGGACCAAAGAGAGGAGTAAGAGAGGGCCCTTTGCATGACTGAATAAGGCCAATGATAATCTAGCCCAGAGGTCCCCAACGCGGTGCCCGCGGGCACCATTGTGCCCGCGTACTGGCCGGCAGACGAGCATCCGCTGAAATGCTGCCAACAAGCAGCAACGTCAATAGGTGTCGCTGCCGAAATGCCGCCAATTTTCGGCGGCATTTTGGCGGCGATACCTCTGGATGACACTGCTTGTCGGCGGCATTTTGGTGGATGCTCGTCCACCGCCACGGTCCTCCGTGAGTTGTCGTCTGGTGCCTGCTAGACGAAAAAGGTTGGGGACCACTGATCTAGCCCTTAGTTACCTAAGGTGTTCGCATTAATCACTGCATTTTCCTTTAAAGGATAATATCCCAAAATGAATTGTTGGGGTCTCTGACCATCCTTTCCAGTGCACACATTACATCTGTTAAATGGAATATCTTCTATGGTATACATTGACCAGAGGTACAGATACTTAACACATTTGTAAAGGCTAGTGTAGACACCCCTATACATTTGTTCCAGGCTGGAAATGTTTGTACCTCAAATTAACAAGCAATCAATTAACTTGAGGTATACAAATTTACTGAAGACAATCCCCACATAGCTAGCTGTATCGGAATTAATTCAACCAAAGACAAGGCAATAAGTGTTGTCTAACCTGTTTCTCTCCTTCAGGCAATATACCATGTTTCTGAAGTGCCTGCACTGCTTGGTCTCTTTCAAAGGTCAAAGCAGACAGGACTGTTTCCATTTCACACAGCTTCTGTTCCTTCTCTTGTAGCTGAGCTGTAACCTACAAAACACAAAATTACTGTGTCTTAAGTACAGACAGTACAGAGCTATTAGAAGGGAGGAACAATGGTCTTCTGGTTCAATCACATGACAGGAAATCAAGAAACATGTGTTCTATTTCTGGCTCTGCCACAGACCTCCTGTGTGACCCTGAAAAAGTCACTTAACTTCCCTGTGCCTCAACTTCCTAACCTGTAAAAGTGACAATAATAATAATTTGCCTCCCAGATATTCATTAATGTCTATAAAGCACTTGGGATACAGAATGGTGTTATAAAACACCAGGATTAAAGTTTACTTTTTAAAATAGTAAACAGGTCACTTCGTTATACCCAGGTGGTTACTTAGCAACTGGCCATTGACAACCATCAACCAGTACATTCTGTAAAATCTCTGAACAAGAAGGTGTGTCTGCAATGTAGTCCATTCTACATGGGACTATACTTTAAAACCATTCAGAGATTGAAGCTGATGCAAAATCCAATGGCTTGCTTCATGAGCAGGGCATATTGCTGGAAGAATATGACACCAGTGCTCTGGGATCTACACTGGCTCCCCATTGGTTTCCAGGTGGAGTTTATGTACCTGAGGAATCACTTCTCTTTCCATGTCATACTGACACAGCTGGGGTGTTCAACCTGAACCCCTTTCATTAGAAAAGAGAAAAGGGTGGCTGGCAGAGTGTTCTCCATGAGGGCTCCGAGACCTAGGACTTGCTCCCCTCACTTGATCCAAAATATCCCAAATTTGGGTGACTTCCTGAAAACATTGCAAAATAAATCTGTTTGATAGGCTCTGGGGAGAGTTCTGAGGGTAAGCTTCCCATAATGATGAAGGAGTAGAAAAGAGTATTTGTAGGTGTCTGGCTGTCTGAATTCCTGTTGAAATGATTACTTTAATGCGGCTGGGATTTTATTTATTGTTTTATTAATGATGGTAAGGTGCCTACAGCTTTGGACAGGGTATCTTTTTTATTATTCTAAATCCAAGTAAGTAGTCCGTAGAATCACAGAAATGTAAGGCTGGAAGAGACCTCGAGAGTGATGAAACCACTCAGTACAGACCAAAGTCAATTTGATCTAATAATGACCTGGTCCCTTGCTGTTGACAGGCTCTGTATTAGATCCTCTGATTTCTGATATTGATTTCTTTCAGCATTTTCACAGCGCCGCTGCCAGTCCAGTTCTGCTTGCACTTTAGCCCGTTCCAGAATCTGCTCTCGTTCTGCTGCCAGAGACAGTTGCTGCTTATACCTATGACACAGAGGACCAGCGTGAATGTTTTTTTCCGTTCCCTGAATTTCTAGTTCAATTACTAAGAGACCATCGAACTGGGGAAACAACATAGTATGTCCAATATCTGAAGCTCTGGTGCTGAAGGGAGATTTTAATTACTGAAACATACAATGGGTAATTAACTAACATTTTGAACTCTGTAGAGGGCAACTTCTTGTTTCAAAGAGTGTGGAAGACAATCTGAGGAGAGGCAATTTTGGATTTTATATGTACTTGGAAGGGAGCTAATTAGGGTATTGATAGTAAAGGAGAACTCTTGCAGTACGTACCAATCAATTTGGTGAATTTACAAAACTGAGAAAGAAAATTATAAAGAAGTAGTTAGACAAAGTTACACCAATTCTATAAAGAACAACTAGAGAAATGAAGGGAACTATTGGACAAGGTCCCATGAACAGAAGTATTAATGGGGAAAGAAGTAAGTGAAGGATGGAAGATCCTACAGGATATTGTACCACAAAGGAGGCACAGAGGGAAGGCTAATGTGTCATGAAAGAAGATAGTTATGTATACAGCTGAAATGAATACTGGGATTATACAAGAAATGGAAAAAGGGAGTGTAGAGATAAGGTAGGAATATAGTATTCATGGATAGTAAATCAACTTGTAGAAATGAATTCAAAATGGCAAAAAAAATTGTTAGCTGAATGGGTAAATGAAATGAGAAGAAATTACAACCATGGAAAAAAAACTAGGTTGTGTGAAATAGAATACGACTCTGGTTAAACAAAGATGGAGATAACAACATAGAGAAACTCCAGGATGATTGAACTGTGATTTTTCTTCCATTTGTAATATAACAGAAAAGTAGAATGAGACACCTTGAGAATGGAATATAATTGATGCTCGGGTGAACCAGGACACATGGTTGATAGGGGAAAGTGAAAGAATCAGACTGAAGGGTGGGATTTTCCAGAACACTCAGCATTGACTAAATGCTGCTCCCACTGAAATCAACGCCAAAATTCCTATTGATTTAAATGGCACCAAGGGTAGGTCCAATCACTTGGAGTATGTCTACACTGCAAGTGGGAGCAAGCCTTTCAGTTCAGATAGACAGACTTACACTAGTGGGGGCATGAGCTAACGTGCTAAAAATAGCAGTGTGGATGCTGTGGCTTGGGCTGCAGCTCGGGGTCTCAAGCCCATCTGACCCCCTGGGTCTGAGCTAGGGTGGCCAGCTCATGTCTTCGCTGAAGCTGCAACCTCCACAGTGCTATTTTTAGGGTGCTAGCTTGAGCCCCCAGTGCAAGTCTGTCCACCTGGGCTAGAAGGCTCGCTCCCAGCTACAGTGCAGACATATCCTGAGAGCTTTTAAAATACCCACTCTAAATATTTATCCCTAAACAAAAACATTAAGGGGTCAAAGGTTTAGCAATCTCTTAGAATCCCTTACCTTTCTATATCCTGCTGGAATCTGGCCAATTCTGCCCTCAGCTTCACCTCCTCCTCATGCAATGACTGAATTTGAAGGTCTTTAGAAACAGTCTCTTTGGAGATCTGAGCTAGATGAGAATCCCAGCTTGTTTTCAGTGTTGTTAGCTCTCCTTGAAGCCTATACAAAGTATATAAAAACATATACTTCTACAAACAAAATATCTTTTTTCTTTTTAAGACAGCAAGCAAGTCTTATTCAAAGCAACTGATTCTATTAAATACATGTCTATTACACCTCTACCTCGATATAACGCTGTCCTCGGGAGCCAAAAAATCTTACCGCGTTATAGGTGAAACTGCGTTCTATCGAACTTGCTTTGATCCACCGGAGTGCGCAGCCCCGCCCCCCCCGGAGCACTGCTTTACCACGTTATATCCGAATTCGTGTTATATCGGGTCGCGTTATATTGGGGTAGAGGTGTATTATCCTCCTAAAAGTTACATTTTGCAAATATACCAAAGCAATATTAATATTATAGAATCATAGATTATTAGGGTTGGAAGGGACCTCAGGAGATCATCTAGTCCAACCCCCTGCTCAAAGCAGGATCAATCCCCAACTAAATCCCCAAATGGCCCCCTCAAGGATTGAACTCACAACCCTGGGTTTAGCAGGCCAATGCTCAAACCACTGAGCTATCCCTCCCCCCCCATATTAATGATGATTTCTCTAAAAACCACAGAAATTAATAGACTTTCAGTGAAGAGGACTGAGGACTGTTTTATGACAAATCTTTTTAAATATCATAGAAGCGCCCACTTTTTTGAGTCAGAAATGTGTGCTTGCAAATTGTGTACTATCAAATGTGTAGAAAAATGGAGGCACCCTAGACAAAAAGGCTCATGTTGTTCCAGCTGCAGTCTTCCAGGCCAAGGGAAGCCTTAAAACAGGCTCCTTAGCCAAAGAGGCTCATTTCTACCAGTAAGTTATTGTCTTCCTGAATTATGTCAGCTGTTATTTTCTCAATATCAGCCCACATTTCCAATATACACACAGCTCAGAGTCCATATGAGGAGGCTGACAAGAAGTTCAAAAAGAGGAAAGGATGGTAAATCCTAGGCCAGCAGAAAAGCCTCTGGTATTTACTTATCTTACCCTTTAAAGCGTTATTGTGGAGACCAAGCCCACTTTCTTCCCTCCTACCTTTCTTCTATCCTATCTCCACAACCAATATTAAATTTATCCCCAACATTCACCAGGGGATATGCTACTTTTCAAGAAACAACATGCCAGTACAGTAGTTGAAGGGGATCAAAAGATCCTAGTATGTCTTAGGATCGGGCACACAAGGGGGATGCCAAACCCAAAGGGCAAACACATCCAACACTCCCTGATCACCCCAATCCCAGACATGATGGGCACAAAACAAGACTAACTCCTAGATGAGACCATCCATCTCTGTGACTTTACCTGTGACCATCTCTCTGGAGGAGGGACACCTGGAGCATACAATCTGAAACTCAGGTTCATGCTGGTTATATGAAGATAGTAATAGTTCTATTGATGACCCATCAACAACTTAATATCAGCCAAGACACATGACCTCAAAGACTGTCAGCAGAATTTGGCTGGATGATTGTGTCAGTCATGTGCTGCTCATTTCAACCTGTCTTGATACATCACAAGCTCAGAGAGGGGAGAGAAGGTGGAATGACCATAGAATCATAGGACTGGAAGGGACCTCGAGAGGTCATCTAGTCCAGTCCCCTGCACTCATGGCAGGACTAAGTATTATCTAGACCATTCCTGACAGGTGTTTGTCAAACCTGCTCTTAAAAATCTCCAATGATGGAGATTCACAACCTCCCTAGGCAATTTATTTCAGTGCTTAAAAATCCTGAGAGTTAGGAAGTTTTTCCTAATGTCCAACCTAAACCTCCTTTGCTGCAATTTAACGCCCTTGCTTCTTGTCCTATCCTCAGAGATTAAGAAGAACAATTTTTTTCCTTCTTCCTTGTAACAACCTTTTACGTACTTGAAAACTGTTGTCATGCCCCCTCTCAGTCTTCTCTTTTCCAGACTAAAAAAAACCCAATTTTTTCAATCTTACCTCATAGGTCATGTTTTCTAGACTTTTAATCATTTTTGTTGCTCTTCTCTGGTCTCTCTCCAATTTGTCCACATCCTTCCTGAAATGTGGCTCCCAGAACTGGGCACACTACTCCAGTTGAGGCCTACTCAGCGCAGAGTAGAGTGGAAGAATTACTTCTCATGTTTTGCTTACAACAGTCCAGCTAATACATCCCAGAATGATGTTAGCTTTTTTTGCAACAATGTTACCCTGTTGATTCACATTTAGCTTGGGGTCCACTATGACCCCCAGATCCCTTTCCACAATACTCCTTCCTAGGCAGTCATTTCCCATTTTGTATGTGTGCAACCTATTGTTCCTTCCTAAATGGAGTACTTTGCATTAGTCCTTATTGAATTTCATCCTATTTACTTCAGACCATTTCTCCAGTTTGTCCAGATCATTTTGAATTTTAATCCTGTCCTCCAAAGCACTTGCAACCCCTCCCAGCTTGGTATCATCCACAAACTTCATAAGTGTACTTGCTATGCCATTATCTACTAAATCATTGATGAAGATATTGAACAGAATCGGACCCAGAACTGATCCCTGTGGGACCCCACTCATTTTGTCCTTCCAGCATGATTGCGAACCACTGATAACTACTCTCTGGGAATGGTTTTCTAACCAATTTTACGCCCACCTTATAGTAGCTCCATCTAGGTTACATTTCCCTAGTTTGTTTATGAGAGGGTCATTCGAGATGGTATAAAAAAAACTTTACTAAAGTCAAGATATTCCACATCTACCGCTTCCCCTCTATCCACAAGGCTTGTTACCCATCAAAGAAAGCTATCAGGTTGGTTGACACGATTTGTTCTTGACAAATCCATCCTGACTGTTACTTATCACCTTATTATCTTCTAGATGTTTGCAACTTGATCGCTTAATTATTTGCTCCATTATCTTTCTGGGTACAGAAGTTAAGCTGACTGGTCTGTAATTCCCCGGGTTGTCCTTATTTCCCTTTTTATAGATTGGCACTATATTTGCCCTTTTCTCATCTTCTGGAATCTCTCCCATCTTCCATGACTTTTCAAAGATAATCGCTAATGGCTCAGATATCTCCTCAGTCAGCTCCTTGAGTATTCTAGGATGCATTTCATCAGGCCCTGGTGACTTGAAGACATCTAACTTGTCTAAGTAATTTTTAACTTGTTCTTTCCCTATTTTAGCCTCTGATCCTACCTCATTTTCACTGGTATTCACTATGTTAGACATCCAATCACCACCAACCTTCTTTGTGAAAACCGAAACAAAGAATCATTAAGCACCTCTGCCATTTCTACATTTTCTGTTATTGTTTCCCCCCACCCCCACTGAGTAACGGGCTTATCCCATCTTGTAGCTATTTTGGCATTATAATGCTGGAAAAATATTACTAAAATTCCAAACAAAAAAACCCCAAATCCTAAAACCCCTTATTGTTTTTAAAAATATTAGTTCACATGAGAGTAGTACAATTTCTAAACTTATAATTTAGCCAAATCAAAACAGATTTTACCAGACTATAAAAGTCCAACCTAAGGACTATATCCATGCCATATTTTAACTTTAACAACCTCTCACTTTCAACAATAGAGAGGTTAAAAAAAGTCTTAAATCTTTATGTTGGTAATAGCAAAAATACATTTTTTCCACTGGTTCTACTCTCAAAAACATTTTTCTTCCAAAATTCTATAAATACTCACCTTTGGTCAGATACAACACCTGGTATTTAAAGCAATCTTAATTAAATAATTGTACACTTTTTGATTCATATAAACAATGAAACACAACACTGCTCATGTAAGATATTCTGAATTCTATCTTCACTTGTATTTCACTGAACTAAGATGAATCAAATCACTCACTTTTCAATAACAGTGTCTTTCTCTTTCAAACAATCTGCATGCTTCCATTCCCTTCTACGCAGCTCCATTTCCAGAGTTTCATGACTTATTTGCAGTTCTCTTATCTGATTTTCCCACTTCTGTATTTGCTCAGCATGGACTTCTTTCACTGAAGCCAGTACTGCATCCTTTTCCTTGGCAAAACGATCTAGCACCTCATGTCTAGAAACACAAATATGCAAAATAAGGCCATTGTTTATTTGGGTTTTTCCCTCAAGTCCAAGATTTAAAATGAAGACACACATACCCCTAACTGATACAAAGTACAGAGTAAACTTGTGTATATAAGTGGGACTGACAAATATTTGTGTCACTTCTGTTTGCAAAGATCTGGAGAACTAAAAAGTCAAAGCTCTCAGAACAAGTACCAAAACCATTAGAGTCAAACTCATCTATCCATGGGATAGATTAAATATTTTCTTCAACAAAGAATGATACTATTCAAAGGAGCCAAGCAATCTGGAGTAAAATGACAAAAATATATTATATAATTTTAATGAGTTTAGCAGCCATTCGGCAAAGCACTTAAGCATGTGCTTACCCTTAAGTACGTAAAATAGCCCATTTGACAACAGTGGGACCACTCATGCTTAAAGTTAAGCACATATTGAAATGCTTTATTGAATCAAGGCATTAAACTTCAACAACATTAACAAAACTGTAACTTTCTTAATATGCTTTCTTAATTGACTGACAATATGCTTTGTTAACGCAGAGTTAAGGTTGCCCTGGGGTGTCTTGTGTCCTTCTGGAAGGTCAAATTCAGTTACACTCAAACCTCTAAAAAATAGGAAATGAAGAATTGAGGTACAAGTCCACACAACCTTAACTTTTCCCTCTTTGAGCAATGACCCAATAAACCCACCTACTCACACTCTGTTTTTGAAGACAGTGCAGAAGAATAAGGGAACAGGGCACAAGGTCATTGTAGGACAGGATCTAATGCTTTCTTTTTGCAAAAGCAAAACTTCTGCTTGGGTGAGCTGTACTTAACAGGAGTTACCTACACCTGTTCACTCAAATACTGAGCCAACTCCACAGAAACAACACCATACATGCTAAGTTTCCAGCCTCTTCATCGTTATGCACAAGATGCCATCTAACATTATACTTTCATTTACCCATCATTAAGCTCACAGATCATTCTCATATCCCACCTTGCTGCTGACTATCCCCATGGCAAGAAGACTCCTGGGCACCGCTAATGACACATGTCACACAGCTCAGTGCTGAAATGAAGCTAAGTGCATCCTTCAACGTACACACTCAACTCCTTCCTTTCATCACACACAAGGGGAGAGGGGCTCAGACCATTCGAAGGGCAAGGCCTCCCAGATTGCTTCATATCACAATCGCAGCTCTGCCAACCTTCTCCAACTAGTCCTTCTGCCATTCAATACAGCTACAGCTGACAGTGAATGCAGCTGTAGTGCATGCAGATATTTCCAAGTTACAGAGCTGGGAATAGAGTCCAGATCTTCTTAGTCCCAGTCCAGAGTTCTTTTTGCTAGGCCACATGGCTGCTATGTTATTCTTAAGTGCTCCTCCTCTCATTGTACATTTTGCTAGTTTAATGGGGATAATGGTCCTGCTTTGAAATGTTTGGCTTGTGTAGTTGCTGACAGGACCCGTGAAAGAAACGACAGACATGGTCTATGTGCCAAAATTTCAAAGTGCTATTATTTTAGATTTTTGACCGTTCTATGCATTTCATAAGTTTATTGCTCTCTTATGTTTAAATTTAATTCTCTGAGTAATGAGTTCTAAAATGCCTAACCTGTCCTGGCTGGAGTAATTATCCCTATGGTAACTTTTAAAAAAAGATATATCATATCTAGTTTTTTTGTTTCTAATGGTGGCACACATCCGCACATTACCTCGATATTGGTGCACATAACAAAATTCATTCTGCACATGGATGAAAAAAATTAGAGGGAACATTACCTATGACCCATCTCCATTCATCCCCTCCCAATCCTCATAATCCCCATTCCCCTCCCCATAGTCCCAAACCCCTCTCCCCTTTTTCCCCTAACTCCTTTGCCACCTACTGCCCCTCCCTTTCCAGGAAGCATTCACATGCTGCATTTTTTTCTCCTTTCTGAAAATAGTTTGAGCACCTTATGCAGTTTTTCATGCAGGAGTGAAATCTGGAAGGCCAAATCACACTTGGAGATGCAGCTAGCAAGAGATGTTAAGAGTAACAAGGAGGGTTTCTTCAGGTATGTTAGCAACAAGAAGAAAGTCAAGGAAAGTGTGGGCCCCTTACTGAATGAGGGAGGCAACCTAGTGACAGAGGATGTGGAAAAAGCTAATGTACTCAATGACTTTTTTGCCTCTGTCTTCACGAACAAGGTCAGCTCCCAGACTGCTGCACTGGGAAGCACAGTATGGGGAGAAGGTGACCAGCCCTCTGTGGAGAAAGAAGTGGTTTGGGACTATTTAGAAAAACTGGACGAGCACGAGTCCATGGGGCCGGATGCGCTGCATCCGAGGGTGCTAAAGGAGTTGGCGGATGCGATTGCAGAGCCATTGGCCATTATCTTTGAGAACTCATGGCGATCAGGGGAGGTCCCGGATGACTGGAAAAACGCTAATGTAGTGCCCATCTTTAAAAAAGGGAAGGAGGAGGATCCGGGGAACTACAGGCCAGTCAGCCTCACCTCAGTCCCTGGAAAAATCATGGAACAGATCCTCAAGGAATCAATTCTGAAGCACTTAGAGGAGAGGAAAATGATCAGGAACAGTCAGCATGGATTCACCAAGGGCAAATCATGCCTGACTAACCTAATTGCCTTCTATGAGGAGATAACTGGCTCTGTGGATGAGGGGAAAGCAGTGGATGTGTTATTCCTTGACTTTAGCAAAGCTTTTGATACGGTCTCCCACAGTATTCTTGCCACCAAGTTAAAGAAGTATGGGCTGGATGAATGGACTATAAGGTGGATAGAAAGCTGGCTAGATCGTCAGGCTCAACGGGTAGTGATCAACGGCTCCATGTCTAGTTGGCAGCCGGTTTCAAGTGGAGTGCCCCAGGGGTCGGTCCTGGGGCCGGTTTTGTTCAATATCTTCATTAATGATCTGGAGGATGGTGTGGACTGCACTCTCAGCAAGTTTGCAGATGACACTAAACTGGGAGGAGTGGTAGATACGCTGGAGGGTAGGGATAGGATACAGAGGGACCTAGACAAATTAGAGGATTGGGCCAAAAGAAACCTGATGAGGTTCAACAAGGACAAGTCCAGAGTCCTGCACTTAGGACGGAAGAATCCCATGCACTGTTACAGACTAGGGACCGAATGGCTAGGAAGCAGTTCTGCAGAAAAGGACCTAGGGGTTACTGTGGACGAGAAGCTGGATATGAGTCAGCACCGTGCCCTTGTTGCCAAGAAGGCTAACGGCATTTTGGGCTGTATAAGTAGGGGCATTGCCAGCAGATCGAGGGACGTGATCATTCCCCTCTATTCGACTTTGGTGAGGCCTCACCTGGAGTACTGTGTCCAGTTTTGGGCCCCACACTACAAGAAGGATGTGGAAAAATTGGAAAGAGTCCAGCGGAGGGCAACAAAAATGATTAGGGGGCTGGAGCACATGACTTATGAGGAGAGGCTGAGGGAACTGGGATTGTTTAGTCTGCGGAAGAGAAGAATGAGAGGAGATTTGATAACTGCTTTCAAGTACCTGAAAGGGGGTTCCAAAGAAGATGGATCTAGACTGTTCTCAGTGGTACCTGATGACAGAACAAGGAGTAATGGTCTCAAGTTGCAGTTGGGGAGGTTTAGGTTGGATATTAGGAAAAACTTTTTCACTAGGAGGGTGGTGAAGCACTGGAATGGGTTCCCTAGGGAGGTGGTGGAATCTCCTTCCTTAGAGGTTTTTAAGGTCAGGCTTGACAAAGCCCTGGCTGGGATGATTTAGTTGGGATTAGGTCCTGCTTTGAGCAGGGGGTTGGACTAGATGACCTCCTGAGGTCCCTTCCAACCCTGATATTCTATGATTCTATGAATTATCTGCTGTACTCAGATTACATTTCTCCTAAATTCTCGGCCTGGTGCTTGGGGGGGCGGAGGCTCGGGCTGTTGCTGGCGGTGTGTTGTAGGACCGGCATTTGGGGGCTGGCAGCGGCGGCTTGGCCCAATGTGGCTGAGGACGGCTGGGGCTCCTCTGGTTGGGGGGCCCCCTCAGGGCTTTTCCTTTTACGGGGGGGGAGGGAGGTGGTTGGGGCTCCGGCATGCGTGGGGGGGTAGGGGGGGTGCCTTGGGCAGAAGGGGTGGGGCCGGCGGGCTAGCCTCCCCAAAGCAGGGGTTCCCCTGCTGCCCATGGTGGCGACAAAGGGCTCTGCCTTGGGGGGAGGGGATAGCTCAGTGGTTTGAGCACTGGCCTGCTAAACCCAGGGTTGTGAGTTCAATTCTTGAGGGGGCCACTTAGGGATCTGGGACAAAATCAGTACTTGGTCCTGCTAGTGAAGGCAGGGGGCTGGACTCAATGACCTTTCAGGGTCCCTTCCAGTTCTATGAGATAGGTATAGCTCCATTTATTATTATTATTATTGCCTTGGCTCCAGAGACCGACATCACCCACTGCCTTCTGGGAGGCTTTCACGGCTGGCTTGCCCTCATCGGGAGCCTTTGTCGGGTCCATCGCTGCATGCAGAGCCGGCTGCAATGGGAGAGTCCTTTGCTCTCTGGAAGCTGGGAGCTGAGAAGGTGTTGACTGCGCCATCAGTCTGGGTTCCCTACCACTCCCTGGAATCGGTGGCGGATCCCTTAGGAGGGTAGGAGATCCCCTCGAGGATGTGCCCCCTTACAGCTCTGGTGTAGGCGGGTGGCTCGAGCAGTGTCCTTTGCCCAGTGCCCCTTGGTCCAACTTGTTTGGTGCCAGGTCCCGTTTCTTGGTCTTTTTCTTGGGCACTGGCAAAAGGGACCGGTGCCAGGTACAGCCCAGTGCTGGGGGTGCGCTTCTGAGGCTGGGCGAAGAGCAGCCTCCATGAGTAGGGTCCTCAAGCGAACGTCGCGTTCTTTCTGTGTCCTGGGACAAAAGTTCTTACAGATGCGACACTGTTCTCAAATGTGGGATTCCTCCAGGCACTTCAGACAGCTGCCATGCAGGTCACTAACAGGCATAGGCCTATTACAGTCAGCGCAGGGCTTAAAACCCAGTGACTGGGGCATGCCCCGCCAGGACCCTAGCTGACTAACTATGGTACTTAACAGTTTAGGGTTAGGGTTAATAACTAATCTACAATAAACCAAAACTATTTACATCTGGAACATGAAGTTCGAAGAGTAAAGAAACCGCTGACCACTTGCGAAGCAAGGGAAAGGTACTCTGGCCAACCACCACGGCCGGTAAGAAGGAACCAAGAGGGCGTAGGACTGGCCACGCCTGATATACCGACACAATGAGCGCGGCACTCAAGGGGGCATCACAGCCAACCCTACAGATACGGAAAGGCAAAAGTCTCTGACAACTGTGCACATGGGCACGCACATACCTAGAATGGAATCAACATGAGCAAGCACTCGAAGAAGAACTTCTCTTGTAAGCTGAATAATCAAGTTTTCATCATCATTTCATTTACCAATCTTCAACACCGAAAGAAGAATACACTTAAAGAGAGGCAGAGAAGGGCTGGCTAAAATTTAGGAGAAAAGACATGGCAAAAACATTCTGCTGAGTCAGGTGTTCCACAGCCATTACACAGTAGTACTTATTGATGGCAGGAACCTCAGAACTGAATAAGGAACCATATGAGTAACTGGTAGTGACAAATGAATACTGAAACCCTCATGAATTGATCTACATGCAATCTATTTGTTAAGATAGAACACTTATACAGGCTGTTGTCACACAGTGAAATAATGCTTCCTCAAACAAACATGTAATACTGAGAAATACAATACTATATATCAGAAATACTTACTTTCTCTGAAATGTTTCCTCTTCTTTTTGCCAGGTCTGGTATACTAAATGAAGTTTACATTCTAAATCCTGTATCCTAAATTAGCAAACATTGGGAAAGGAAGAAATAAGATTTATCAATTTTGTAACTGAAATTGTTATGCTTAGTTACAGCAAGGAAGGAAGATGGTGGGGATTAAGTAACTCAGAATAAGGAGAAGAAACCAGAAAAAGGTCAAATATTAAATGGCCAGGAAAGAAGGGATAAAGTCAGAAAGTGGACAATGGACAGAATTTAGAACAAGGTTGAAAGGTGGTTAGATATTTGAGAATGGGCATGTGGTATGACAATTTATTGCTTTCAGAGAGAAGTAAAAATGAAAGAGTAACAAGAAGAAGGGGCTGAGAATTATAGTGATATGTAAGAACTTGAATTAGACAAAATGTGAGACAAAGCAAAAGAAATGTTTGAGTTTGCTTCCTATGAATAAAGTGAGATGACTAGTAGCTAAGATGGGAACTGAAGCAAGAAAGAAGCTCTGGCAGTTGGCTTAATCAATTCCATTTGAAGTCAAAGCAATGATCTTCTAAAAAGAAAATAAAAAGGCACATTTAGGAGATCCATCTATAAAAATGACAGTGAATTTAAAAGGACATACAGTCTCTCTCTATTTATATTTATACCATGTTCTTCACTGAGGTGTTTGAGAGCCAGACCCTGTGAAGGGAGCCCGTTACAACAGGAGCTAATGAGATACAATGGCTTGAAAAAAAAAAAATCAGATGCACTTCTCTTTTTATAAAATGTATTGATTTTTAAATTAATGTCATTGTTTAAAAACCCACCTAATTTCCTTTTTTGACAGGATTACTGGGCTAGCAGATGGGGGAAAGCAGTAGACATGATATATCTTGATTTTAGTAAAGCTTTTGACACAGTCCCACATGACATTCTCATAAGCAAACTAACAAAATGTGGTCTAGATGATATTACTATAAGGAGGGTGAACAACTGGTTGAAAGACCATACTCAGTGATTCGCTGTCAAACTGGGACGGTGTATCTACTGAGGTCCCGAAAGGGATCAGTCCCGGGTCTGGTACTATTCAATATTTTCATTAATGACTCAGATAATGGAGTGGAAAGTATGGTTATAAAGTTTTCAGATAACACCTACCTAAGAAGGGGTGCACGTTGGAGGACAGGATTAAAATTCAAAAACAACCTTGACAAACTGGAGAATTGGTCTGAATTCAACAAGATGAAATTCAATAAAGCTAAGTCCTAAGTACTTCACTCAGGCAGGAAAAATCAAATGAACAACTATACAATGAGGAATAATGGGCTAGGTGGTAGTACTGCTGAAAATGATCAGGGGATACAGTGGATCACAAGCTGAATATGAGTCAACAGCAGCTGAGAAAAAGGCTAATATTCTAGAGTGTACTAACTGGAGTGTCGTATATAAGACATGTGAGGTAATTGTCCCGCTCTACTTGGCACTGATGAGGCTTCAGCTGTACTACTGTGTCCAGTTCTGGGCACCACACTTTAGGAAAGATGGACCAATTGTAAGCCTGTCTGTGTCAAAGTACTTTGCCCTTAAATTCATGCACAATCTACAGAGTTTACAAGCTCTGACAAACAGCTGGTTTAAGAAGTTTATGAAAGTAAAAATGTGATAATCTACACCAAGTTTCCACATAGCAGTGTGTGAAAAAATGAGGGACCAATCTGTAATATTTTTATGACGATTATGGGAAACTCCATTTGTTTGATTATGAGTGGGCGATAGCTATATGGAAGCCTAAGGGTTAACTCAGTTCTATGGGGCTCTGTAGGACTACAGGAAGGCAGACAACAAGTGTAGCTAACCCTAATCCCAATACTTAATATAACACAAGTGTCAATTCCTTTGAAAATTCACCCCCACCATGCTCTGATCAGCAAGCAGGTTGGTGACTCGGAAGGGGAGGGGGAAAGCCCAGGCAGGAACGTTCAACAAAGACATTGAAAGCAGTTAAAAACCTAGGTCCGGAGAGAGGAAGAAGGATGGAGGGTCTAAAGTAACACGGTTCCCAGATATTGGAGCACAAGGAATAAGTGCAGTCCGACCTGAACTGGCAAGGTAGGGCCAAGCTTAGGGAAGACAATACGCATATAAGCTTTTGTTATTTTTAATCCTGTTCTCTCTGTTCATGAAGTTCCTATGAATAAATAAACCATACTCTGTTTTGAGTAAGCTGTTTTCTATCAATGGGTTTACCAGCTGGTCAGAGGTCCTTGGGGGGGAAGCATATAGCAGGCCTGAATCCAGATGGGCCTGGTGGAGGTAAGTACAGCCGGTAAAACAGGATGTACTGTAACCTGGCGACAAAGTGGGGTGAACCATAGGGTTCCACTCTGAAAGAAGTGCAGGTATAGATGTGTCTCTTGGAAAGGGTGACCTCGGGAGAGAGACTGAGATAATGCTCAAACATATATTGCATGCCTGAACTATAACACAGTGTTTACAAATACTTTATACAAACAAAGAATTTTTTTAAAAAATTACACCAAATAAAGAATGCAGCAGAACTGGCCTAAAACCCACACTACCCAGAGACACTCTAGTGAGCACTCAGATCAATGGACATTTCCTTCTGTTGTGAATAGGATAGTATGTACTATTAGAGTAGGTGATTGTTTATACAAGAGGTATGAAGCTGCTGAGATTATAAAAGAGTGTGGAAGGAAAAGAAGGGAAGGGTGAATTAAAAAGTAGTTGCTCTTAATCATAGCTAGAGTTGTACAGTACTGAGCATCTTTCACAGCTGCAAGATCTTGAAGTTCCCAGTCCTTGCATTTGGCCTCTTTCTCCAACTTCAAATTAGTAGTTTCTGCTATTTGCAATGATTCTGCTGCTTTCATCCCAGCCTCTTTCAGAGCCTCCAGTTCTCTGGTCAACAACTTCACCTTTCAAAGGAGGAAACAAAATTAGAAAGTAATTACTCAAATTACTCAATATTAGAAAGTAATAACAAGGGCATAACAGAAGTATTTCAGTATGCTCCTGGCGACAGCAGGAAGGTTGTAATCCCCACCACATATAATCAGCATATCAAGAGAAACTCATAATATCTCAAGAACAACAAAATAATATCAGGGGCTAAAACTCTACCTCCTCCCTCTTCTCCTACCCTTTTTGAAATCAAAAGAGATTGCAATCCCTGCCTTAGGGCTGGATCATGAAAATGTATTCCTACTCCAGGAAGAGTTCTTTCTCTTCCCATCTAGGCACAAAGAAAAGGAGTACTTGTGGCACCTTAGAGACTAACAAGTCTAAGGTGCCACAAGTACTCCTGTTCTTTTTGCTGATACAGACTAACACGGCTGCCACTCTGAAACCTGTCATCCAGGCACAATACTTCCCTCTTTGATTTTGATTTTTTTTAGTTAGGATTTTTTTTAAAAGGTCAAAACACTTGCTTGGTCTAATTGAACTATTTTATAAATAGTAAAATGCAATAAAATACTAGAATAAATCTTATGGGTGAGATTTTCAGAAGTGTTTGGTACGTTGATTGGGATTAGCCCCAGGCCAACACTGAGCTCGTTTGAAAACCCACACTATGAGTGCAATCTCCACCCATTTATTCCCATTCACCCTCTCCCTTTTATACACCTCCCAAACACCCATTTTGTATCCTTTCCCCTCATTTATCTTCCTTGCTAACCCTAGACCCCTTGCATCTGAAGAAGTGAGTTTCTTACCCACGAAAGCTTATGCTCCCAATACTTCTGTTAGTCTCAAAGGTGCCACAGGACCCTCTGTTGCTTTTTACAGATTCAGACTAACACGGCTACCCCTCTGATACATTTTCCCTTTGGATCACCACTTAAAATTCCCTTCTTCGAAAAGCTTTTCAACAATGATCTCTACTTACTTCAGCAATGTGCCTCATTAATGAAAAAAATCTCCCTCAATTGCCTAAAGTTTGCATCATTATCAAATATATTATTTGTATCTGAAATGTGTTATCTATATTTGACTTAGAAAAGATCTTTGAGCTATAGACAGAGTGTCTTCCTCTATTTATACAGCACTTAGCACACTGGTGGCATTCAAATAATAAACTTAACATGAACAGATGTTGAAATGCACATATTTAGGTCAGCACTACAATTATGGACACAAACATACATAAATTTATAAAATAAGCACTCCTAAGTCAGAAAATTCCAAAGGTCAAGGTTTCTTCCACTGTATCAACTCAGCTGTACCACATATACTATCTATTTGATATCTATGTATTAATAAAAAACAATAATACATAAACGTTTAAATTCAACAAGGAAAACAGGAATAGGAAATACTACATATATAGTATGAACAAAGGCACCAAGTTAGCAGCAGCCAGACAGGGGCCAGAATTTGGCCCTTTAGCCTTCAAATTCAAAAGCCATAAATGATGAAACAAAAACAAATTTATAAAATATCTAATTTCCCCTTATTACTGTTATAATGATGTCCTAAACTCAATAAAGTCTGAGGAAGTAAAAGCCTTTGTCAATATCTATGCACAAGATGCTGTAACTGGTTTTGAGTGGTACCTATCTCATAAGCGCTTTAAAAAATTAGAACACACTGAAATAACTTGACACTGGTAACAAAAAGGGTACATCCAAGTGATGTTGAATTCATCTTTCTATTTAGATTCTCTGCATATTTCTTCACTAATAGTCAACAAACATCAATCTCATGAGATAGGCATTCTGGAGACTGACAGGTAAATTTTCTCACCAGCGTGCAGGAAGATTCTGTTAACCATAATGGAATTAAGATGCAACCCTCAAGTACCTTCAGTTTCTACTATCCTGGAAACAACTCATTCGGTCCACTAGTGAAGAAAGGAAGAGTGTGACCTGTCTATTTGTGTCACAGAATATATCAAACTTGGGATGATAGTAAAGTGTGTTTATTTTGTAGACAAAATGAAAGTATAGCTTAAAGACACAATTACCTTCAGTTCATGAGAAAGAACTAAATTACTCATTTCATCTGCCTGCCGTCTGAATGCATGTTCTCTCTTTTTAATTTCTGCATCAAATTCCACTAGCAGCTCCTGTAATGGATTACAGGGAATGGATTAATAATTGCATAAAGAATGGGAATCCTAATATAGACCATATGTCAGCTACCACTGTGTCTTAAACCATTGTGTCTTAACCACTGTCTTATCTAGGTTTGATTTGAGGAGAATTAGACAACAAACTGGCTAAAACATTGTGTCTGGGGTACAGTAATTCTCTCACCATTGCTTGCACCAGTGGAGCTATGCCAATGCTACAACAACAATGGGGAATTTAAAGAAAAAGCTCAGTGTAAAGAAGGTTCCTGTGTTACCTAAAATGGCATCTTCCATGTAATATTAAAGTCAAAACAATCCACAGTCGTAGAAAAGATGAAATTACCAAATGTATTTCTTAACTAAAAATGTACATATATTAAAGTCATATTCCTTTATAATAAATATTTATCCAACTATGCAACCTATAACTTTTGATAAGAAAATGTGAGTTTTGCTTTAAATCTTACTTGAACAGTGAAATAAACTATACCCCCATATGGATCCAAGAATGTGCTGTTTCTTCTAGTACTGTGGGCTTTTCCTTCTAGACCAGGGGTGGCCAACCTGTGGCTCTAGAGCCACATGCGGCTCTTCAGAAGTTAATATGCGGCTCCTTGTATAGGCACCGACTCTGGGGCTGGAGTTACAGGCGCCAACTTTCCAATGTGCCGGGGGGTGCACACTGCTCAACCCCTGGCTCTGCCACAGGCCCTGCCCCCACACCACCCCTTCCCACCCCTTCCCCGGAGCCTGCTGTGCCCTCACTCCTCCCCCCACAGAGCCTCCTGCATGCCATGAAACAGCTGATCGGGAGGGGAGGAAGGGGGAGGCGCTGATCAGCCGGGCTGCCGGTGGGTGGGAGGCTCTGGGAACTGGGGTGAGGGGTGCTGATGGGGGGGTGCTGATGTATTACTGTGGCTCTTTGGAAAAGTACATTAGTAAATATTGGCTCCTTCTCAGGCTCAGGTTGGCCACCCCTGTTCTAGACATATGAATTGTCAAAAAACAAGCAATAACCTCAAACTACTACTGACAATAAATCAAGTAGACTACAAGTTGCGAAAACACAGAATAAATTATTTCAGCATAATTTTTTTGGTCATACTGTGTATTAAGGTTCCATTTATAAATAGTTTATAAAGGGATAATAACTGTTAAATTTTAACAGACATGAATAGTGTGTGTTATAGATGGTTATAATCATATCAGTAAAGGAGTTACAAATGGTTATACACAATCTAGTGACCTGTTGGACTTCATAATAATCTATGACAATTAATAAATGATAAATGTGTTTTAATCAATATTTTATAAATGCAACTTGATAGTAAAGTGTGACCATTTTTTCTATTCTTGCATAAATTAGATGTTATTCTAGTTACTTGAACTATGAATACTACCAGAAAAATCTAAATTTTCAGAAAATTTGGCACAAATACAACTGGAGAATTGAAGCAATGAGAGGAGTCAGTAGTTTTACTGAAGTTAATAAAATGCCCCAAAACAACATGATCTTGATGGTGTAAAGAGATTCACTATAATATCATAAAATCATAGAAATATAGGGATGGAAGCATAGGGTGTGGGAACTAAGGGTGCATTGTGCGGGGTCCCGGCCGCCGGCCCTGTGCCCAGGGTTCTAGCACTGCCAGCCCCATGCCCAGGGCTCTGCTCCTGGCCCCACGCCCAGGGTCCCGGCTGCAGGACCTGCTCCCGGGGCTCTGCTCCCGCCTCCAGCTGTGGGCCCAGCATCAGCCCCCTTACCCCTGTCTAGGGTTACCATACGTCCTCTTTTTCCCGGACATGTCCGGCTTTTCAGCACTCAAACCCCCGTCTGGGGGGAATTGCCAAAAAGCCGAACATGTCCGGGAAAATGGCGGCTCTGCTCCTCCCCTGACTC